CCACATTCTGCCTTTTGTCTCTGTACTGGTCCACCCTCCTCACTGAAGTCCCTAGAATCCTGGCATATATTTCCCGCTGCTCAAGGCGCCCAGCAAAGCCTGGGGGAAATCACTCATATGTGGATATCTCTTGTCATTGTATAAAATATACCTATGGACAGAGTTTGGGAGAAGGAGGTCTGTTCCTTGGGAGTCCCTGGTCCTTGTCCACTTAACTCTTCTGTTTTTATTTTGTAATGAGCTCCAAGTCATGTGTATGTGAGCCCAATATAATGTCCTTCTCTGATGTTTGGTGAACAAATCCCCCCACCGCCCCCCTTCAACTCACAAACCTGTGCCAAGTTCTTGGAGCTAGGTTTGATCAATTCATTGCCTTCATTGGCCAGGTGGTCATCTATCTTTTCTAAAGTCCTTTCTACTCAGTCTCTTTTTATCCACATAGAAGCCACAGGGCATGTGGTGGAAGATGATGTTGTGCTTTACTTAGCAAAGGAGAATCAAGACAGAGAAGGGTGGGACCTTCAGTAGCCCACACAAGTCAAAGGAAAACAGGTATCACAGACTGTCCTCCACTCCCTGCCTACGGATAGACTCAGGTGCATTAGATAAAGACTCTAGACTGGGGTCTGTTGGGGGTGGCTGGAGCTGCAACCTAGGTACACAATGTTCCTCCTAGCTTAGCAGGAGACATTGCTTGCATCAAAGAAAACCCCGCACTTCTGGATGGCTGAGTATCAAGGAAAACAATCTGTGATGAGGTCTACACGAAGTTCCTGGGCAGAAGTTAAAGATCTGCCACTACCTAACTCATCATTAAGCTCTAGGCCTTTGAACTTTGTTTTTCGGCTCTTCTGCCCCCTGTCTGAGGCCACAACCTTCCTTCCCCTCTCCAAGTAAGAAGAGTCCAGATAAAAGAGCTGTCAGTCAGTTCCTGCAGACACTCAGCCTAGACACCTTCAGAGGTAGGTGGGGGGTAAGGGTCTTGAGGCATTTTATTTGTGGCTTGCTTGGATGAGTTCTTGCTCAGGTGGCATCAACATTATTCTTGTGAGGTGAGGATTATTGCCTCTGTTGTTCAAATAAGAAAATGGAGAGAGAGGTAACTGGCCTGGCTGAGGTTCCATAGGTAAAAGAGGCAGAAATGAAACAGGATACTCAAAGTCCAATACTTTTTCTTCTTTAACATTATCTGAAAAGCTCAGGGATCCTGAATTTTGGAGGAGCTGTAGTTCTGTGTCTTTGCAATGCCTAGGGGCCTTTGCATTGTCCTCTATCTCAGGATGGCCAAATAATTCACCCAGAATTCTGTATGTACGTAGTACCCAGCCTGGGCGTGATGACGTTTTCTTCTCTGGGGTCACTTAGTACACCTGAGGTGTGCATAGAAGGGGATTGGGCAACCCCAGACCCTGAACACACTTTAAGGGCCAGTAAGGAACTCAGAAAGCTGGACTAAGCATGAGGCCTTTTAAATGAACAGATCATCAAGCTCTGGAAAACTCAGGTCTAAAATGATATTTTTGAATACAAATAAACAGCTTCACAGGACCCATTACTTTGGATTCATCATGTTTCCGTCACTGTGTGCCAGTCTTCCTCCTTCTCTGTGCAAAAGGCTGGTGCCAGGAATCCAGAGGCCATCCCAATCCATGCCCACCTTCACCCAGTTAGTTACCTCATACCTCATATCCTCACCTGTAGATGGCTAACAGAGCATCTGCATTGTACATCTGTCTTGCTCTGTGCTGGAGCCTTCAGAGGATCAGAAGAGCGTTCTGAGCCATGCTCAAAGACTGGGTATCCTGCCACTGCTCGCTGGCCTTCAAAAAATGCAAAAAATGCAAGTGATTTATAGACTTTCTGGAAGCCTACCGTGTTCAAAGACAGCCCTCCTTTGACCTGGAGCTTCACCAGTGAACTTGCATCCTTTGATGTAAATATTGCCCAATGGTAAATGAAACCTCAACATCTTAACTTGACAATTTCTCTTCGTCAAAGCCACACCAAGGCAAGCTGGCAGGGATGTGGGTTCTGAATGGGGCAGGTTGCAGAGCAGATGTAAGCGCCTGAGTGGAAGCTCCCAAACAGCTGATCCTTTACAATTCAAGGACTTCTCTTCTCCTTTTCTTTCTCTCCATAATCTCCTTCTCTTGCGCTTGCCTCCCCTCCAGTCACCTAAATCCAATTTGCCTCAAAGTCAATGTGTCAGTGATTCCTGTGCCTAAAATTTGCGTTTAGACCATCTATGTAGATGAAAGTTTTGAGTACTCTGACCAGTTGTTGGCTGTCATTTCTCTCAAGTCCTTCTGAGTCTCATCACTCCCTCTGGTACTGTTTGCTCTAGGGTCTTGACTAAGTTATGTCATCTGGTTACATATGTCCTCAAATAAAAAATCAGGACACTTAACGTGTTCTATTATTCCAACTTCACAAAAATAATAACAACGTAAAAGGGTACACAGCTATTTGTTATCTCTGTCTGGTGTGGGGGCATTCCGAATGCATATCTATTTCCTCTTTGTAGTTTGTTTGTTTGTTTTACAATTTATACAATCTGAAGATTTCTTGCTTTTTAATAAAAAAAAATAGCAATGCGTTTTTAAATAATTTTGCAAAGGAAGCGATATGTAAAGTGAGATGGGGAAGCAGCCCAGGGAAGCCAATGGTTAGCTTGTTATGTTGCTAGGTGCCAGGGGGTGAAAAGGAAAAGTAGTAGAAAGAATAACACAATATTCACAAGTGCTTTCTCTCCCTTTCCTACCCTATTCTCGACTTAATTTATTTTCTACCTCTAGCAGCATTTGGAGAAAACCTGTCTTCTGCCAGAACTTAAGCCAAACACACATAGAGACAACCATGAAGCCCTGGGTTCTCCTACTCATCATTCTCATCTGTGGGGTTGTGACGCTTCTGCCTGTGCTGGGAGGAATCCGAAGAAACCACGACTGTAGGTGGCGTGGCAAGGGAAGCTGGTGTTCTGCCCAGGCCTGGGATGTCTGGCATCACTGATTCAGGGCCCAATTTCCAGCATCACCCTTCAAAGGATCAGAACCCTCCTTGAAGCAGAGATATCCAAGAAAGATTAGGTTGGCTGTTCCCAATATGGCCCCCTTCAAGTTCCCGCTCGAGACCTGAAAGCAATAATGGGTATATGGAAAGGGAATGTATTATAGTTTCTGTCTGCATTTTATAAGCTCACCGGAAATAATATTTTTCAATGTCAGACCAGCTTGGGTAGAGGAAACAGCAACACAGAGCTGCCCTCTGAGCCCACATGTTCAGAATCTCTGTGTCTTATCTGAGTGGGCTTTTTTTTTTTAATTGGGGAATTGGGGGGATGGGAACAGTGCTGGGGAATTGGGGAAAGGGGAACAGACAAGTTGCTGTCGTTTTGTTCTTCAATCTACTTATGGAGGATGTTGCTTCACTGGCCCAAGTTGGCACCATCATTGTGCTCTTCTCTGGCGAGGCAGATCAGTCACCGGCTTCTGGACGGCCGCTCACTGCGGCTGCTGGCCGCTCACGCTGGCTGCTGGCCACACACGGTAGCCCATGGCAATCCACTGCCACAGGGACTGCAGCCCACGCCGTCGCCGGCGACTCAAGGCAGCCCAGCTCCAGGTTGAGCTGTTGTTCAGCATCTTAGCTGTAGAGGGCAGTGTCTCTGGCCCTCATATGTGGGATCCGAACCGGGGCCCTCTGGCATCCCAAGCGAGTTCTTAACCATCGCGCCACTCGGCCGGCCCTGAGTGGGCTTTTGATGAATACTAAAAGGATAACATTTTAACACATTCATTTTGTTTGAGGGGAAGAATCTTTTAGACCATGGAAAAATAGGCAAGACAAATAAGAGGTCCTTAGTGAGTCAAAGTTTGGAGTCCTCTGATAAGAAATGAGGGACGCGAAGGGACCGAGAGGGAGGGTTGTGGGCCAGAGAAAGATATGGAATTTGGGGATAGGCTGAATGCTTAGGTAGTACCAGCAGGGAAGAGAATGGAAAAGGGAAAATGTAGGTTCCTAGTCTCCTCTAGCCTCAGTTTTTCGTTCTGCAAATTGGGTATGGAAATTTGCAAAAATAGTGAGAGGCTATCGCAGATCCTGAAATCTAAGGTCATATGAGAATAGATTTGGTTGAGGTGGTGTGTCATCTATGGTGAGGGTGTTCTAAGTCCTATCTTTAAGGAGCTTGGGGAGGGTTTGAAGGCCTGCAGTGCCGTGGGGGACATGTGGAAAGAGGGAAAGTATGCCGCACAAGGATGGTCTCCTGTGAATTCAAGGAAGGGACTTTTCTTGAAAGGCAGAGAAATGCTTCCTGGCTTGGAGTTCAGGTTCCAGAGCTCAGGTATTGTTAAACTTGAGAAGGGTTTCTTCTCCAAGCTGTGGATGGATAGACCCTGCCAACTTCTACCATCTCAGTTCCAGTTGAAAGAAGAGAAACTGAACAATGCTGGGTACAGCCTCCACCACAGCATTGTGAGAAAAGGTGCTCTAAATCACATGGATGCATGGATGTAAATCATACATGCTGCTGGACCTTCTGTGGAGAGATCTGCTTGGACAATGAGTGAGTTGGTTGCTGAGGGAAGGTTGGGCCTGGGCATGTTTCCTCACTCTCATTCAGAACATGTGACCTGGACCATAAGACTGCAGTCACCCAAATCCTGGTCAAAGAGACAGGTAGCATCAGGCAATGCCCTCCTATCTCCACACCTAGGTTGTCACTCACCGCAAAATAAACTAAAATACTAACATGGGGACCTCCTTTTTTCCCCCACTCTCATTCAGTTCCCCCAAAACATCATCCATCAGTTTGTTTATCCCTCTTTTGTCCAAGCCCCCAGTGACTGCCTCCTTAGTCTGGCCTCTCTGCTGGCCCCTTGTCTCAGCCCGGCCCAAGGAGACCTGGTCTCCACCTATCTGCTCAATTGACAAACCTCATGGGTAAAATTGCTTAAACGTGGGTAACTCCTGATCTTACAGAAAGAATTCCTGTTCTCATTAACTGGTGCCAAAGGTGTTATTAAGTTTAGGAATGAATGTCTCTTAGGGTTCCCTTTTAGCCACTTAATTTTCTCTTCCAGAGAACCCTTTAAATCAATGCTGAAACCTACGTTCTTGGGGGCTCACCACTAGTGTGGGCAGCAGTGTGACTACGTGGTCTAAGAAGAGTGCTGCCTGGCTCCTTGTTGTGATACCACTGGCTCCAGCTGAGGATCTCTCTGTTCTCTCCTTGACCTCGCTCTCCTGAGAAGGCCCAGGTTTTTGCCAAATAAACTGATATACCAACCAGAGGGCTCTGCAATTTTGTTGTACTCCACCCCTTGACTCCATTTCTCTCATTATAATCCCCAAATGTCCCAACAGTTGTTCCCATCCCATTATGGTCACAGACACCCAACTCTGCCTTCCCCGTTAGACCCATGTATTAGTCAAGTAGGCTCATGACTGTAGCAAAAATACAGAGATTTATAAAGATGTCATGGGTTAAAACAGGAAAGGTTGATTCTCATTCACAATACATTTCACTGAGGGTGATAAGTAAACAGCCACCTGTCCCATGATTCAAGGACCTGGCTCCATCCATCTGTAGCTCCATCATCTCGCAGGGCCTCCTTTGCCAGCAGGTGAGAGAAGAAAGGTAGCATGGAGGCTCAAGCAGAAGGTTTATAAGGGTCAGGATTAGAAGTCGAGTTCATTATTTGTATCCACATTCTAGTTGCCATAATGTAGTCATATAGTTCCACTTATTTGCAAAGGAGATTAGGAAGTATAGCCTCTTTGTAGGTCCAGTAACAACAGAAAAAGGAATTTGGAGAACACATGGCAATCTCTGACCTGCCTAGTTGAGCAAAGCCAGCCTCCTCAACCAAGACCCAAGACCCTGGCCTCTACATCACTCTGTCCAATTGAACAAACACTCCCTCTGCTGGTAAGAAACGGGCACCTCCCATCATGAGAGAAAGCATTCCTGCCCTCAGGGTGGGTACCCTGAGCTTCCAGAATGGCACCTCCTTCTTCCATCTCCAGTACCCTATTATCCCTGCCAGGTCAATTTGTCTTCCTGGCAGTTTGACTCATACCTTGAGATTTCAGGTAATGCAAGGCAGGCCTTCCTGCCCAAGTCCCCAATAAAATCTTAAAAAAAAAAAAGAGTTTCTAGAGATTTAAAGTCAGCCTTCTCTCCCTGGTACAGAGAGGAGGACACCTTTACAAATGGAGAGCTCCCTTATACATACATGTAAATGTTTGTTACAAAAGGGTAGTTTCTACTGGTTTTCAGAACTTCTCCTGTATCTGCAGTTTCTTCAAAATAGCCAGCCTAAAATAATTCTCAGGCCAAGGAGACATACTTTGGGGTGACAAATTCTGCCCCCCTTCAATGTCATATCTCATTCGCACCTTCATTTGCCAAGCCTGGATCATGAGAGGGGGAAGGAAGAGAAGATGCTCTTTGACCAATGTTAGCAAAAGAATAATTGGCACAGAGAAGTGAAAGGACACCAAAGGGGTCAGTAGAATGTGGACACACACACACCACTGTTACTCTGCCAGCCACGTAGACACAAAACAGAAGAGCTATGGATTGTGGAGACTGAGCATCAACTGAATCTTCATCTGTGCCACCCACTGAAGAAGACAGGAAGCCCAAATTGTCCTTCCTTGTCATGGTGGTTAATGCTAGTAGACTTCAGGGTGGGCTGGGGAGAGAGTGTCAGCATCTTTGTTATTGAGACAGAGTGGTACTGAATGCTGAGACAATCACCTGTTGACATAGCCCATCACTTTTACCTGATAGCATCAAGCATATATGTCAGTGAGTTACTATAAAAGACACTCTTATTATTCTTACCAAACTCCCTTCACTGGTCAGTGCACTCATGTCTCAGCTCCTGAAAGTGCTGTGACTAAAGGTCTATACCTGTGACCTTCTCCAGAAACTTGCCCTCATTTGATGGAAGTCACCTCAGCTGGATATGCCTGTATAAGGAAGAAAAATTTGCCACCCCAAAATGTGTCTGTGGCAGGAGAATTATTTTATTTTTTAAGAAACAAAAGACGGGCCGGCCGAGTGGCGCATTAGTTAAGAACTGGCTTGGGACGCCAGAGGAACCCGGTTCGGATCCCACATATGAGGGCCAGTGACACTGCCCTC